ATTCCGCGCGGCCTTAGTTCGTACCTTTTCCACTCTCTATCCCGACTACCTTGCTTCTCTTCCCTATGGCAGCCATCGTTTCCCGCGCATACACCTCACCGTCAGGTACCTTGAACTTCCCGGGACGGTAGCAGGAATGGCAAGCTTCTTGCCCACACTCCCGAGAGAACATCCCCCMCCCCCCGCCTCCGTATTCCGACTCCCTTGACCCCCCCCTCTCTCGGGACACTAAACATGGGTGCAAGGATCATGACGTGTCAGCAGGATGACTTCCACACTCTTATCCTACGGTAATGACACGTGCACCTTGAAGAGATACGGGTGCAAGCAGGAGCTTGCACAAGATCAGAACCCCCTGGGCGTCGCATATGTGACGAACTATTTTATGAAATCGCGCGACTTCCTGCGCGAAGCTGCTGGGGGAAATACGACGGGTCGAATGGGTGAGCTGTGGGAAGATAGGTAGGGCAGGCTAGTTGCATGGATGCCCTCGTTTCTTTTTGTCTTCAGCTGGAAGTTGTCAGATCGGTGTAGGGAAAATCCCGTGCCAATGGTTGGGTAGTCACGCCTTGGCAAGCGCAAGAAATAATTATGCCATAACTTCTTTCTTGTTCTGCTGTGGGCACTGGGAATTTTGGCGCGATTATCGCGCGGGAATACCGTTTTCGAATTTTCAACTGATGTCGAGCCCCCACGGGCTCGCGGAATTGTTTTTCTCTTCTGCTTTTTCGAAATTTCCTTTTGCAATTAGGACTTAGGCTAGGAATTTAGGTACTCTGAATTTTGTTGCGCCACGCTTGCGCACATCTTGCCGCGCTGGGAACTGGGCTCTGACTGGGTCGCACCCTTAATCTTGTGTAACAGTCGTTTTTGGCGGGCGGGATTGTAACTGTATCCTTTTTCCTTCTTGGTTTCCTCGTGTTTGCCCGCCTTCTCCTTCTTCCTCGCCTTACATACTCTGTTCTAATTGGCCGGAGCGCCTGCATGACCGGATCGATGCATGGAGTGTGGATACGACCCCCACGCTGCGGCCTGCCCATACAGACGTAGGCACTTCCTCTCTTCTCCTCTTGTTTACCTGGGCTTAATCCCGTACTTTTCGCGCAGGCACACATGCTATAAATTTTGCGAACGCGATTAGTCTACTCTCTAAGAATTTCGAGGTTAGCTCAATCAGTGAGGGTCGGCTAACGAGCAAGTTTGGAAGGTGAGTGAGTGTGAGAGTTGACGAGCTGGTGTCGAGTATGCGGGGTTGACATGCGGGGCCGTAACAGACTGTGGCGCACGGGCGAACCTGGCTTGCATGCTCGAACCAAGCGGGGTGACAACTCTGTGTTGATGCGAGGCGACAGAATGCCCGCATTGGGAGTGTGGAGCAGAGAGAGAGAGAGAGAGCAGTTGTGGGTACGGGATGAGGTTCTTTCTTTTGCTCGTCTGTATAATTTTGGCTTCTGCTATGGCCGATTTTTGTCGCGGCCTTTTTGGAGCTTTCCTTGTAAATCGTCTCGAATTTTCTTTGTCGCTTTTGCCTTGTATGAATGCATGAACGGGTGTGAACTCTTCTTCATTAGTGATCTTTTCGGATTCCCGATCTTGTTTTGCGATGCTTGTCTAATTCTATCATCCATCTGCATCTGATCGAAAGCACCCGCTACGGATGTTTGGGTTTTTATTCTTAGTCCTTGATCGGCATAAGGCCACCACGAACGCTGTGAGATGTTGATTGTCCTTTCCCCCTTTTCTCTCCTTTTTGTCACGTGAATGGTATGGATATGAATGAAACATTTGGATCTCACCCTACATAGCATGAGTAGGATAGTTGCATGTAGGATACAATCGCTATCGCGACACAGGAAACCCGAGCCTGATTCACTCCCGCTCGTGCGCACGCTCACGTACGACCGCGATATCGAAAAAACAAGTCGTGGCGTACGCCCACGTCTACATGAGCCAACCTCGAATTTATCAGAAGGATGTGGGAAATCGAATTCATTAGCCGGATATGGCCGAGGAAAGTCCCTTTTGGATCACCGATCGTGAAAGCTTGAGGGATCCGGTGTATCGCGAGTACTGGGAAGGCGAACAACTCAGACGACGGGGAAACTTGAGAAACCCGGAATTCCCTTGTCTGACAGAGAATGACCGACTGTGCGCGAGGGATTTCCACTGGGCTATAACCAGCGACCCTAGGGGCCCAGACTACCCAGATACGAACAATACTCAATTTTACATATCCCCGGGCTTCGTTGTTATTAATACCAGTTTCCCTCCCTTCCATCTCCTCCTTCCATATCACTAGCTGACAGTGGTACCGTGGAATTCCATAGCTCGCTATTGGCCCAGCCCACCGTACGAGGATTGCCAACAGTATCAGACACGCCAAGCTTCGGGATTTATCCACCGAACTCGAACCGAGGCTGAATAGCAATTGCACAGCCTCCGCTTACGGCCCGCCCCGTCGGGTTCCGAAGCTTGTTACGAGCGGCGCCGACAGCAGCACAACCGCCACGGTGTCCCATCAATCCACCAGACAAGGGACCGACCGCGGCAACACCACTGGCAGAGGCCATAGTCCCCTCCCCGAAGGCTGAAACGCCAGATATGATCCGTGCGCACTATTTTGCACCGTTGTCCCTAAAACTATTCACAAGAGATCTCAGTTCCGACCTCGGACTCCACCCCCACTTTCCTAAAATCATTGACACCCCCCCTTTTTTCGCACTTCCGGGCCCCCAACCCACTCCGATCAGGAAGTCGCGTTGGGCGTGAGGTTGGGCGTCACAAAGGCGCCCTTGTCGGTGGTGAATCCTCGTGTAGTGTATTCTTCGTGCCGTACGGAGGCCGAGGGCACATTAGGGATTGCCTGTATCGCTCTGATGTTATATGCAGGCATTGTAAATGCGGACCATGATAGCAACTTTAATGTTGAGAATTCTTGGCTTCATCAAATCTTCCTTGTCATCACCTTTCTCATCCGTATCATGCATATTAGGTCTATCACCAAGGTCAGACTTACTCCTAACTCTTGCATGATTCCTCCGTATTCTGCCTCTCCTTATCCTGTCTCAAATTACTCCGTCCCTTCTTGCACTGTCACCTCTATTTTAACAATTACTCATGGTGGAGAGCTGTATTAAGCCCGAACACGATCTATGAGAAGTATTGGAGTTCTTGGATTCATTGTGTTGGCTCGAGATGGCTCCCTCTCATGGCAACATGAGGCTTCCAAGTTAGTTGCCTGAAAGGAGCATGAGCATGGTCTACCAATTCCATCATATCCTTATGGGTATAGTGGGATTTGAACCTACGACCATTAGGTTCAAAGTCAAATGCTGTACCAGCACCCAGAATCCAGATAGGCTTTAGGGCCTTGCCACACCAATGTCGAAACAAGTGGTTTTGACATTTTTTCTTCACGACACAGACTGTCGAAGAAAAATGTCGAAAAAATCACTTCAACAATTGTCAGGAAAAGGGTTTCGACATCCGTGTGAAATCGCCCGCCTGCCAAGGGCCAAAACTCGGCACCAGCGTTTTGGGCTAGCGAAAGGTGCGCCGTTGTCACGGTTGATTCTTGGGCAAGTCAGCATTCCTCTGCCTCAATTCTGCGCGTCTTCTACATGTGCTGTGTGGCGAAGGTCAGGTTTTTATCGAAAACCCCGATGTCGAAAAAAATCTGACAGTTGTCGAAAACTTCGCCATTTCGACATTGGTGTGGCGAGGCCCTTAATTATGCTGGGAACTCCAAGTATCCTACCTAACAAAAAATGTGTCGGTGCAGATAATCAGCAGGGAAGGAAGTCATACATGTATTGATAGATGCGCTGCGCCCCTCAACGACTACATCCCAGACATCCATGATAGTGAACACATCCTACTAAGCCTATCTGGATTCTGGGTGGATAGCTTAGCTGGTAGAGAGCATTGGGCTTTTTCAACCTGCTGGCCGCAGGTTCCAAAATAAATGGAATAATAGCAAAATGTTCAGTGGAAAATCCATTATGAATTCTCTTTGTTTTACGGAGGTGTTGATGATTGACCTCTCCAACATGCAAGGCCGATGAGAAAACTTCCCACTGGCCTCGGACTCGTCATTCCAAGCGTTCACAATGGCAATGCAGGCCTTCAAGCTCGCCTTGGAAATGAATGTGGACTGGAAGGGGGAATCGTAGGATTGGGGATAACGGATCGACCAACCCCACTATAAGACACTCCAGCATGCATGATCTGGATCCCACCCGAGAAGGGGATCCAGTTCTTGGGGATTGAGTCACTTGCTGAGGGACATACTCAGTGTCGGGCAGCTGTCCTGATGGCCATGATTACCAGAGAGGTCGGTATATAGTATATACCTCCCTGTTTGGCAGAGCCTTGGCCCTAAACATCTCCGTACTCTCTCTGATGTGGTACACCATGTCCAGATGAAGGGCAGAAGCACGTCTATGGGCAGGGGACCGTCTATGCTCACAAGGGTTTATGAAGAATGTTCAGAAGGAGGGCAGCAGCTCGTCT